GCAAAGGTTGCAAAATAAGCAATAAATTGGGCATGTGAAGAGGGCATCCCATATCCATCCCCAAGTTTATCTACCAAGTTGACCATTTAGATTCAGTTTTTACATCAGTTCAAGAAAGAAAAATGCATAAAAACTTTTTTTTTGGAATACCAGTAGGTCTTTTCTCCTTTAGCAATTTCTTCAACACAGCGTTCAAAATTTCGCAAACGAGTTGGCCAATAAACATTTTGATTGAAGCCATCTCCCTTCGAGCGACAATAATAGTAGGATATGCTACCAGAATAGCTAAAGGAGACAGAGTTATATATGCCAAAGCATAAGCAATAGGATCGGATGAATCAAATTCTACATTTGTTAGGGAAAGAGAAATCAAAGGTCGAATTTCACTAGATGACATGACTATTACCAGTGATTGGCATACATAGAGAAGTCTGATATAGTTACGTACAGCATCCTTGTACCACAATATTTGACTATAAGTATAAATTTTCAATTCAAATTATTCTTTTTTCTGTAATAATAATGCGAATATCAGATATGCAGTCTCTGACACAATATATCAATTATTATCAAAATTACGCTTGTAGTACTATAATCTACGATCATTTTCAACTTAATAATCATTCTAACTTCGACATAATTTTTGAACCAGAACGTGTACGTATTGTTCAATTGAATATATTTTGTAATACATAATCTGCACTTGTTTAACATTTATTCTATCAGACAATAATTAAAGAAACAAACTTTCAAACATCGTCCAATACTACCAATCAAAAAACTTTAATTATAGAGATATACCATCCAAAAACAAATCTTACTAGTAATTCTTTTTCAATATCCAATAATAATGTTGTGATTTTACTAAGGAAACATGAAGAAGGTTTAGAATGGTCGTCGTTAAAGTTTAAATACTATCTAGATGGGGATGAAATGAATGGAGAAGAAGAAGAAAAATGGTTCCTCACAAATGAAAATGTAAGAAAATGCTCTGAACTTGTAGAAAGACAATCGAATTGGGTAAAACATTATATTATTTTTATCATTTTATGCGCACTCAACTTTAATAAATCTTTAAATTGACAAGTTTTATATCATCTAACCTTCTCTACTTTGCAACATGTTGATTGATTGATCAAAAACAGTCTAAAGCTTCATTATCGCCTGAAATAGTGTCAACACAAGCTATAAGAGATAAAGATGGATATATTTTACGAATTAAAAGTAAGCAACAACCTTCTTCAATTACTAGCGAATCATCAATTTGTGGCAATATAGTGAATCAAATGAAAAATATCGATCTGCAAGATCAAACATAGATCAAATTTCAATGTCGTTCGAAAATGTCGCGTTTGTTTTTAAAAAAATGCTGCTGGAATTCTTTAAATATTTATGCCAAAAACCATAAAAAAATATTTTTTACATTGTCAAAAACATGACAAAAAATTGACATATAAGAGAATATATATAACAAACAACACCCAAGGTGATTCACCAGATTATTTACGAGCGAGTTGAAAAATATCATATATTACTAAATAAAAGC